TCTTACAGCCGATGCACTTGCAGTCGCCCATACTGTGAGTGGTCACGCCGGTTGGGAAAGTATGTGGCGTCTACTCCGTAGCCAATGCTATTTCCCTGGTATGGCACAGCGCTGCCGTGACTACGTGTCAGAGTGCACTACCTGCCGTGCGGCAAATCCTGCTCAACCTTGTCTACCGCAACCAACGCGACCTGTAACTCCCGATGGTCCCTGGCGTGTTGTGCAAATTGACACGCTCGAGCTTGGTACCAACAAGTCTGGCCGATATCACTGCGTTCTTGTCTGCATTGACACCTTCACCAAGTGGGTGGAGGTCGTCCCGCTTGTTCGCCATGATGCTGAGTCTGTCGTCGATGCATTTGTTAGTGTGTGCACTCGGTGGGGTCCTCCCCATGTTATCCGCTACGACAACGGCACCGAGCTTCACAATGCCCTGATGTCATCCCTCTACAAGGTATTTGGGGTCAATGTGTGTTTTGGCGCAGTTCGCCACCCCCAATCGCAAGGTGCCGCAGAACGGTTCAACCAAACGCTGTTGACCTTGGTGCGGAAGGTCCTCGACGAGTCCAGTGATTGGCAGGTCGACCTAGCTATGCTCCTGTACTTCTACCGCAACAGGGCCCACAGTGTCACCGGTGTCTCACCTATGCAAGCAATGGTTGGCTGGCAGCCCCGCAGTCTCGTGGTGGATGCTACCCCAACAGATTGGTCGTTTCCCCGCTGGACGGAGGAAATACAGCGTCGCGCCTCAGCCATGTACGATCTCCTGGAATCAGAGTTGTCGTCCTGCGATTTTGTCGAGGAGCCAACTCAAGCGTTCTCGGCTGGAGAGTCTGTTCTCTTCCGCCGTCCACACCGGCACCAGAAACGACTCCCCGAATTCGAAGAAGGTTGGATCGTCAAGCGAGTCGTTGGTCCCTCAACTGTCATGATTGGCCGTGGCACAGCAGAAAAACTCGTCAACACAGAGCTGCTGAAGCCTGCTGGAAGTCATTCCAGTCGTATCCCTGAGCCACTAGATGTAGCTAGTATTATCGATGACGAGCCGTTGGACCATGTGCCTTTGGCTGGTGTACCTGATGACACCGCTGGTGGTCGTCTTCTCCGCGACAGAGCCCTGCTCCGTGAGCCTAGTAGGTATAGCTCTTGAGACCACTATGTTCTCTGCTTTGTCCGAGTTTGGGTCTGACTCGTGACTCTAATTCGTGTTTTGGCCGTCTCTGACGATTGACGTTTAACAGTGTGTGTCATAAATTTGGTTCTTTTGTTTTGTTTTCTCAATTTGTTGGCTCCTATTCTGCGATAATTGGTACTGTTTTTTAAAGTCGTTTTTATCTTCTTCTCCTCATTTTTAGTGACAATTGTCACTAGGGGGCATGTACTAGTATCACCTTGCCACGTCACGTCCTAATATTACGTACTGGCATGTGCTTCAGACTCATTACGTGTGGGTGTGCTGTGCACGCATGCATGCACCCCCTGAGCAGATAGAGCTGTCAACCACGCGGTGCTCAGTGGTTGTAATTATTATTGCAATGGCATGAAGACAGTTTCGACTTTCTATTTCTCTTCCCGTTACGTTAATCCTATCAAGCATTCAACTTTGTAAACCATATGAACTGAGTAGGTGTTCGTTGTGTCGGGTGCACTCTGTGTGCGTGCTTGAGATTCCCCGACAAGGTGAAGCGGGTCGTGTCGGTGAACAGCTGCAGAATATTCTGCCGCCGTGGAGCAGCAGTCCAAACACTTTTCAGCTTCGGAGAATGAAGCGCTTCCCTTTTCCGTTGACAAGCGCTGCGTTCGCGGGTGTAATGCATTTTCGAATCCGCTTGCAGTAGATCGTTAGGAGCCAGAGGTACTAGGTAGGTGTCGTTGTGGAAAGAATTATTATGTTGTAGCTGACAAGTGACATACATGTATTGTCTCTTGACGTGCTGATCGCCATTGTAACATGATAGAGCTTGGGGATGCGTACGTGAGGAATCCATCGTCTGGTTGTCTCTACCCGTGACTCCAACCGCCTATCGTAATGGATAGCCGCCTGGAGTCTTGGGCAATAGCTAGCTGCTAGTGCTAGGCATCAAGTCTGTATGCTCCTTGCAATGAAAGTAACAGTTGCGATGTTTTGTACAAGTCCGAAGATCCTTGAATTTTTTTATTGCTTTTTCGGATGAATTGGGTGGACCATCCTGGACGAAAAGTGGTACGACCATGGTCGTAGTGGTCGTACCGTGTGTGACGCCCCTGCAAACAATCATGCCCCCCCCCCCATACACACACACACACAAACACACAAACACACACACACACACACATGCATGCACGCATGCGCGCATACACACACACACACATACACACACACACACACACACACACACACATACACACACACACACACACACACACACACACACATACACACACACAAACACACACACAAACACGCATGCGCACAGAGACGTGCAGACTTTCACCCACAAAACACTCACACATGCCTGCGCAACGTCTAGCATACAGCAGCAGCGCACTAAACACACATGCAATCTTCCACTCACAGTGAAGTGAGTTTTGTCATATTGCGAAACAGACCAGAAACATTTGCCAGGTCACAATGCTGTAATACCCTGTAATCACAACATTGGCAGGAAAAACCAGAATTTCAAATAAGCAACAGTTACACCATAGTTCAGTGGCTAGAGCATTGCGGGCCTCAAGCGAAGGTCCCTGGTTCTAGTCATGGTTGGTGACAGTCAATGTTTTTCTTCAGACTTTTCCCTTTTCCATTCCCTCAACAAGTGAATCATGATACAGTGCAAAAATGTCGATAGGTCGCAAGTATCGATTTACTTTGATTTTTTGCATAGCAGTCACTGCTACACAGTTTTACAATTGACTAGCAACTCCCAGTATTGATTAGCAGTTTTCCTTCATCAAAAGTTTACATGTATATCTGTACAAAATCAGGATTGTACAGAAGAGGACAATAGCTGCAGTTGCTATTTGCTTTTCCAAACAAACGGTTGACCTGAATATTTTAGGTCAGGGTTTTCGCTTGGGCTTGTTACATGTTCAGCGTCCATCCGACTTCGAGTTCTTCACAACACAATGTCCTGCAACAGGGCAGTTCCACTGATTCCTTCGACAAAGAAAGCTCAGGAAAGCGCTCAAACGACCGTGCCACTTCGTTCAAAGCGCACAGAATTTTCGCTTTTCTCCTTTTCTTCATCGAAACGAATCAACACTACTGGCGCGTCCAGTTCTTTTTCCCGCTTCTGGACAGTGATCAGATTCACTGACATGTTGGCTACATGAGACTAAGAACCATCTACTTCAACTGTGTCTTGTCGAACAGAAACAAACTAAATTGAGCTTGACAGTGAAAGAAGAAAGGAGAACTTCAGGGAAAGTTGCCGCCGTGTACAAAACTTCAGAAGACTGCAGTCTTATCCGACCAGTGCAGTAGTGGCTAGCGCGGTGTCCAAAATCAAACAGAGCGCGATCCGGGGCCCACGCACGGACTGAGCAGGACGGGCCAGTTGGTTGGAGTAGTAAAATACTGCTCCCTGGTCAGCAGTGGTGTGTGGGTCGTCAATAAGCAGACTGCACCGTAGCCATCTATGATATCCATACAGCATCACAAAACTCTGCAAGCAGTTGCTGCGCTATTCCGATGATCTTGTTGTGTTCACACTTTTTAAACTGATTGTTGTAGCCCAGAGACAACTTGGAGGATGTTGTAAAGATGTAGGGTCATCAGTTCAGGGGCGTCGGAAGGTATTTTAGTGTGGTACGGGCTGCCCAGTGATCTGAAGTACAATTTACTCATGGAGTGGGATGGCAGAGCCCAAAAATTTGGAAACTGAGAGCCTAAATCAATGCATTTTGTTGATTCATGGGGTACATATTTGGGGCAAATAATTTCAAACATTAAAGCTCAGAGAGTACTGTCAGAGAGGAAGAGGAGAAACAGGCTGCGGACATTGGCCTTTGGGTCTTGGAACGTTCGAACTTTGGTGAACAATGACGGACCCGTCGAGACGGCAGAAGAAGACGTTTTGAAAATTCAAATTGTGAATCTGTCGTGGAGGACAAGAAGATTGACTTGGTGACCTGTGAGCTGTCCAGAGTTGATATAGAGATGGCTGGACTGCAGGAAACAAAGTGGTTCGGCGGAGATTACAACTGTGACGACCGACCGCCTGGTGATTCTCCAACTGTTGCCGAAGTCCCGGTATGTACAGCCTGCCCGAAGCGCCCTACAATGACTGATCGCCAGCACTTTGAACATTATTGCCGAGTTTGTAATCAACGGCAGTTTCGGAGGCGACAGGACCTGCAGCGCCATTTGAAGCACTGCCTACCTCTCCCTAACCTCTCTGATGTAGTGGATGCACATCCCACTGTTTGTCATTGTATCCTTTTATGTAGCATGTATGCATTCATCCGGCCGCGCTGTACGACATGCCAGTTGTACCGTAAGCACTTTAGCTTTACCTGCCTGCCTGGCTTTTCCCTTGATCTCTCTGTCGTTCTCTGTATTCCCAGACACTTGTGATTTATTGTAAACGAAGCTAGTTACAAGATGTCTTTGGTGTGTTTGTAGAACCACTACATCTGACAGTACCTCCCTTCGGGGAGCGGCGTGGCCATTTCTGGCAGCTGTCAATAGTAGCAATAGTAGTAGTAGTAGTGGTGGTGGTGGTGGTGGCGGCGGCGGCGGCCGCAGCAGCAGCAGCAGTAGTAGTGTGTGTGTGTGTGTGTGTGTGTGTGTGTGTGTGTGTGTGTGTGTGTGTGTGTGTGTGTGTGTGTGTGTGTGTGTGTGTGTGTGCATGTGCGTGCATATGTGTGTGTGTGTATGTGTGCATGCTTGCGTGCGTGTGTGCATGTTTGCGTGCATGCACTAGATGATTATATCGAGGCTGACGCTGGGAAGAAATACAAACAGAAATGGGGAAAGAGCCCCAACATGTACAAGTATGAGATTCACTGCCATTTTTAGGGCCACGGAAATGGTTAGCCCTGCATACAATTCTAATTGAATTGGGCAGATTCCAGGGCCCGTCTGATTGGGGGCTGAATGGAGTAGAACTAATACATTTATACACTTCATAGAAACTCACAGTACTTTCAGAGAGCTGGGTTCAGGAAGCAGATCAGGTGGCAGTGTCCTCAGCCGGTTGTAAGACAAATCTCTGAATAGACAGAGGCAAAAGATGCATGAAACAAATCGTTCACTCTGAGCACAGCCAATACAGTCTCCTCGCTGTTGTGTCGCAATGATCAAGTGACGATTGCAAACACATACGCACACACACATGCACAAACAAACGCACATGCACCCGCACACGCACCCACACCGACAAACACACATGCACATGCACACACACACGCACTTGTACTTGCTCACTGCCAAAACTGGTCACGTTGGTCTCCCCGGGAGAGGGGAGAGAGAGGAACTCTAAAAGGAATCTTGTCTCAATTAGCTATTGAACCCCCCAACGGTCGACCCCCTGAAATCCCCAAAACTCTGGGTGGACGTGGAAATGATCCCACTTATGGGCTCACCACATATCAGTAAGTGGGTGAGGACAAGGTGCAGTAAAAGGACAGACTACATCAGGGTATCCGTCCAGGGATCCAACTGCAGTTACCCCTGTCCCCGGTGAAGGTAACACTTGCTACTATTGTGGGTGGCTAAATCAGAGCTGACCTGTTATAAACTTCCCTAGCACCATTGATTACACAAGAGTTAATCTAGCCAGAAGCAGTCCGTGGTTAAAAGCTACATGTATATATACTTCACTCAATCTGCGGACAGGACTGTTTCGTACTTTGTGGACTCGTCAGCGCAGCACAGAGGAAATGAGGCCGAACCTGATAGCAATGGAAATAAAAATTTCCAATCAGGCCCGAACGTACCTTGCCAGAGTGCTCAAACTGACAAGTCAGTGAGCTCTGCATAACGCAAACAGCAAAGGGACTACCCCCACGCAAGAGAGCTCAACTGCTACAAGAGCAGGGGCGAAATACTCAATCTGCGGACAGAACTGTTTCGTCCTTTGGGGACTCGTCAGCGCAGCACAGTATGTATTCTTATGTATACTTCAAATAGAAACACACGCACGCACGCACGCACACACATGCACGCACACACACACATATACATACACACACAGACCGTATTTCCTCGATTAATAGACCCGGTCTTTTGTTTTTTGAAGAGGGTTGGACCCCCGGTCTCTTATTTGGGCATTGTCCATTATTTGAGCACGGTCCACTATATAGAAGTTCTATAATTATGACGTGTTAAAAATCCACCATTTCCAGCGATGTGCCGGTGAAAATATAGTGGACCGTGCTCAAATAATGAAAAAAAGCACTAGCCACTACAAAAATTGTAGTTGCGCAACCTAAAATCGCGTCCTTTTTTGATCCACCACGTGCTTTCTTAGTGCGCATGCGCAAAGCGATGAACTCAAATAAGAGACCGGGTCTCTTATCCGGGCATGGTCTACTATTTTCCGTGAGGCCTCTAGGAAGGTCTACTATTTGAGCATGGTCTATTATTTGAGCATGGTCCATTAATCGAGGAAATACGGTATATGTACAGACACACACACAATCATGCCAACACCCACCCCCCCCCCCCCAACCTCCACCCCCCCCCCCCCCCCCCACCACACCCCCCCCCCACCCCCCCCCCCCCCACCACCCCCCCCCCACACACACACACACAAACACACACATGCACGCACGCATGCACGCATACACACACACACACACACACACACACACACACACACACACACACACACACAAACACACACACATGCGCACACAGACGTGCAGACGTGCACACACAGAAAATACTCACACATGCCTGCGCAATGTCTAGCACACAGCAGCAGCGCACCAAACACACACGCAATCTTCCACTCACAGTGAAGTCAGTGTTGTCATACGGCGAAACAGACCAGAAACATCTGCCAGGTCACATTGCCGTAATACCCTGTAATCACAACATTGGCAGGAAAAACCAGAATTTCAAATAAGCAACAGTTACGCCATAGTTCAGTGGCTAGAGCATTGCGGGCCTCAAGCGAAGGTCCCTGGTTCTAGTCATGATTGGTGACAGTCATTTTTTCTGTAGACTTTTCCCTTTTCCATTCCCTCAATTAGTGAATCATGATACAGTGCAAAAATGTCGATAGGTCGTCAATAAGCAGACGCCACCATAGCCATCTATGATATCCATACAGCATCACAAAACTCTGCAAGCAGTTGCTGCGCTATTCCGATGATCTTGTTGTGTTCGCACCTTTTTAAACTGATTGTTGTAGCCCAGAGACAACTTGGAGGGTGTTGTAAAGATGTAGGGTCATCAGTTCAGGGGCGTCGGAAGGTGTTTTAGTGTGGTACGGGCTGCCCAGTGATCTGAAGTACAATTTACTCCTGGGGAGGGATGGGAGAGCCGAAAATTTGGAAACTGAGAGCTATACGGGCTCGTGGCTTCTGGACCAGGCAGCAAAACGCCTTTTTTGATGTACGGGTCACGCACCCAAGGCCGTCTTTGCTGTCTGGACCAGAAGTGTCGAGGCAGTTATCCCAACACGAGCGTCAGAAGAAACGTCAGTATTCCGATCGAATCAATCAGGTGGATCGAGGATCGTTCACTCCGCTTGTTTTCGCCACCAGTGAACAGTGTGCTCCCGAATGTGGCATCTTCTTGAAGACCCTCGCAACACAACTACACCATAAGAACTCGGACATACACTATCGTCTCATCATCAGCCACTTGCACTCGAGAATCAGTCTATCTCTGATGCGGTGGCAGATTACTTGCTTCCGGGGGTCGGGTGCATCATACCTACGCAGTGGATCCAGCATTGGCCGACATTGCTTTGTGACGGAGTGCCGTATGTTGGCTCATATGCCGCGCTGACGGGCATCAATGGACTTGCCATTAATATTGTCATTGGTTTCATTCTGTCTCAGAGTGTTCTGTTGTATTTGTTTTCGTTTTAACCCATTGAACGCTGATGACGTCTATAGACGTCATTGAAAATGCCCCCCATGCGCGGGATGACGTCTATAGACGTCATGGGATATATAGTGATTTCTGGCACTGTCTGGTGTGTAAAAGCACTGTTAGTCAGTTGGATAATGAACCTGCCTCTTGTACGATAGGTCGTTGGTACGAATCCCGCTTGGAAACACTATGCGTCTTTTTTTCTTCTTTTTTCAGCGATCTTTCAGCTGCAATTTCACGCATTTGGCGTATTTCACGCAATTTGAGCAAACTTGCGTCCCCTATTGTGAGGCGCTATTCTTTTTGGGGACTGTATCGATTCTGTCACCCTGTGGTTGATAGTATTGGCAATCATTTCCAAAATTTTGAGGACCCCAGTTGCCAGAACCCTGGAGTTTTAGAACTTGCTATTGGCCCTGTTTTTAGCATTTTATATGCAGAGTACCATAGGCAAGGCCCAGTAGCGCTGAATGGGTTAAAGGCGTTTAAGCGTTTGAGTGAATGGAAACGTCGTCGTACTAGTAGTAGCGATGCTTGGATTGTGTTTGCGGGTTTGCTCTTTGTTTTTGTATTCCCTAGTTGCCTTGATTCTTTTCTTTTATTTTCTGATTGGATTTCCCTATTTATTTGATTTGATTTTTGCTAATTTCTTGAATGGTTTTGTCACCATTGCCTTTCTTGCTTGCGCTTTTCAGTTTCTTCTTTCTGACACCCGGTTTGTTTTCAAATAAAGGCGAAGTTCAGTAGTAGTAGTAGTAGTAGTAGTAGTAGTAGTAGTAGTAGTAGTAGTAGTAGTAGTAGTAGTAGTAGTAGTAGTAGTAGTAGTAGTAGTAGTAGTAGTAGTAGTAGTAGTAGTAGTAGTAGTAGTAGTAGTAGTAGTAGTAGTAGCAGTAGTAGCAGCAGGAGCAGCAGCAGCAGCAGGAGCAGCAGCAGCAGCAGCAGCAGCAGCAGCAGCAGCAGCAGTAGTGTGTGTGTGTGTGTGTGTCCCTTTGTGCTTGGAGGGGACGGTTGTACTTTTCTTCATCTGGCCTTTTCGAGTTCAGCCTTCTCCCACTTGGCCATGGGGTGGCTCTGGACCTACCAGAGTCGCCCTGGGCGTGTTCCTGAAATTTCTGAGGCGAGGGTTTCACGACGCGGTCGCCAGGACGGTGTTTTTCCGCCACGACTGGCGTCGTCCTCGTCTCACCATTCGTGGCGGTGTAGCTGACCCCCAAATGGTTTCAAACTGTAAAGCTCAGAGAGTACTGTCAGAGAGGAAGAGGAGAAACAGGCTGCGGACATTGGCCTTTGGGTCTTGGAACGTTCGAACCTTGGTGAACAATGACGGACCTGTCGAGACTGTAAGAAGAAGATGTTTTGAAAATTCATTTTGAATCTGTCGTGAAGGACAAGAAGATTGACTTGATGATCCGTGAGCTGTCCAGAGTTGATATAGAGATGGCTGGACTGCAGGAAACAAAGTGGTTCGGCGGAGATTACAACTGTGACGACTGACCGCCTAGTGATTCTCCAACTGTTGCCGAGGTCCCGGTATGTACAGCCTGCCAGCATACTTTCAAGTCTACTGCTGGGCTGAAGCGCCATCGCTGTGGACCCCGCCCGAAGCGCCCTACAGTGACTGATCGCCAGCACTTTGAACATCATTGCTGAGTTTGTAATCACATTTATACACTTCATAGAAACTCACAGTACTTTCAGAGAGCTGGGTTCAGGAAGCAGATCAGTTGGCAGTGTCCTCAGCCGGTTGTAAGACAAATCTCTGAATAGACAGAGGCAAAAGATGCATGAAGCAAATAAAAAAAAGTTCACTCTGAGCACAGCAAATACAGCCTCCTCGCTGTCGTGTCGCAATGATAAAGTGACGATTGCAAACACATACAAACACACAAACGCACACGCACACACACTTGTACTTGCTCACTGCCAACACTGGTCACGTTGCTCTCCCCGGGAGAGGGGAGAGAGGAACTCTAAAAGGAATCTGGTCTCAATTGGGTATTGAACCGCCCAACGGCCGACCCCCCTGAAATCCCCAAAACTCTGGGCGGACGTGGAAATGATCCCACTTTTGGGCTCACCACACCTCAGTAAGTGGGTGAGGACAAGGTGCAGAAAAAGGATTGACGGCATCAAGGTATCCGGCCTGGGATCCAACTGCAGTAACCCCTGTCCCCGCTGAAGGTAACACTTGCCACTAGTGTGGGTGGCTAAATCAGAGTTGACCTGTTATAAACTTCACTAGCACCATTGATTACACAAGAGTTAAGCTAGCCAGAAGCAGTCCATGGTTAACAGCTACATGTGTGTATACTTCAAATAAAAACACACGCACGCACACACACACATGCACGCACACACACACACACACACACACACACACACACACACACACACAAACACACACACACATAATACATACACACATATACATAAGTGGGTATAGCCAGGTTTCAACAGTGCTCAACACCACAAGGGCGGAGAGTAACCACAAAGGTAAAAAAGAATAGTTCAACCAATTATATACACATACATGTACACACACACACACACCATGCCTACACACACTCTCTCCCCCCACCCCCACCCCCACCCCCCCCCCCCCACACACACACACACAAACACATAAACACACATACACATGCACGGACGGATGCACGCATACACACACACACACACTTGTACTTGTTGCTCACTGCCAAAACTGGTCACGTGGGTCTCCCCGGGAGAGGGGAGAGAGACTCAAAAGAAATCTTGGAAAGATGACTTAACTGGCTATTGAACCGCCCAACGGCCGACACCCCCTGAAATCCCCAAAACTCTGGGTGGGCTTGAAAATGATCCCACTTATGGGCTCACCACACCTCAGTAAGTGGGTGAGGACAAGGTGCAGAAAAAGGATTGACGGCATCAGGGTATCCGTCCTGGGATCCAACTGCAGTTAACCCTGCCCCCAGTGAAGGTAATACTTGCTACTAGTGTTGTAGGAGAACGACGCGCACTGCCACACTGCGCACAAACTGAAAACCCTGAACACACGCCCAACCACCGCCTGTACCAGTCACAACGCAACACTTCCGTTCTTCTGCTAGAATGCAACTGTTTAGTTAGTACAATGTAGGTAGGTTATAAAGGTGCTACATACATAGCCACGTACAGATCTACTGAGAGCGCGAGCAGCGAGCCAAGCTCGGAGGCTTGGGCACGGCATAGTTCATAGTTCATAGTTCATAGTTCATAGTTCATGCAAGAGCATAGTTCATTATTCATAGTTCATTATCATGCAAGAGCATAGTTCATGATTGGTTCTAAAACAGACAGCAAGCATATAATGAATCTGCGTGCCAAGACAAACATGCGAGACTTGCACGTTCCGGAGCCAATCATAATGTAGAGAGTGCCAGCCGCAAAGCTATAACATCAGCATGCTGACCAACCATGACTTGTCACCACAAGTCGTACTACTACTAGTAATGCACAACACAATCATAGGGAGCACGTCCAGCCCGGCCCAGTGTTCATAATAATATAGTCATCTCTAACCGACTACAGATTACGTGCAGCACAGTCATGTATATGCCAATCTATCATCCGAGGCTGACTGATGACACCTACTGCTAGCACACATGCACAAGTCAACACTGATACTACTACACCTCTCCCCTAGGTGTCATCTAGCGGTACCTGGCAGGTCGAACAATAGAGGCACGGTCACGGAGTGTGGACGGATGCGGTAGTGGAACAGTAGGTAATCTAGCGCTGACTCCCAATCATCTGTCTCCCCCAGGGTCTTCCGGATGACACTGAGGAGAGTGCGGTTTACTCTCTCGACCGCTCCCTGAGACTGCGGATGCCTCACTGCACCATGCTTAACGGACACGCCAAATGCTTCAAACAGCGCTGTGATGATGGCGTTGACGAATTCCGACCCGTTATCACAGCGAATGACTTCTGGTGGGCCCCACCGGGTGCACACAGACACAAGTGCCCGTGCTACACTGGCCGCATCGTGACGTCGTAGCGGCACCACCTCCACCCACTTGGTTAGCACATCTACAATCACCAGCACACAATGGTAGCGACTACTTTGTGCTGGCCCGAGCTCAAGCGTGTCAATCTGTACTGTGTTCCACGGACCAGACGGCACTCCTGGTCGTGTCGGGGGAACGCACTCGCCACGTCTTGGATTGGCCGCCGCACAGGAAGAACATTTAAGGACAAACTCCTGACACTTTGCCGCCATGCCGGGGAAATAAACTCTGGTTCGCAGAAATCTCCACGATCCCTCCCAGCCTGAGTGACCCGTCTGCCGATGAGCCATCTTGATGCTGGCAATTTCCAGAACAGGAGGGATCACTGGTACATTAGATACCTGACCCATCGGTAGCTTCACACTGCGCATCAACATGCCGTCGACCACAGCTAGCTGGTCCTTGACCTTCACATACTCTGGTGCATCAACTCTCTCACCTGCGACTTGCTGCTTGATCATTGTGCTAATGATGCTGTCCCGTTGCTGAGCAGCAGCGATGTCGTCCATCTTCAGAATGGGATCTGAGGATGCGACCGCCGTCACATCTGGCTGCGTACTAGCTGCTGTCTTTCTCCAGTAGCGCTCCAACTTGGCCGGGACATGTGTCAACTTGTCGGCGAGGTTCTCAGACGATGGCACCCATTGGACTTCCACGGACAGCTCGGTTGTCTTGACTAGGTCGTCGATGATGTCGAGGCGACGTAGCACCAGAACTTCATACAGCCCACCGACCTTCACTCGTCGGATGTTGCCCAGCAGCGCTGTTAACCATCCCACTACGGTCTTGGAGTCGGTGATCAGCGTCACTTTCTTCGCTCTCCACTGAACTGCTAGAGAAAGCGCCTTGATAGCAGCATCGAGCTCCGCAACGTTGATGTGCCGCTTGTCGTTCTTGGCCCGCAGCCAGCTCTTGTCCTCCACAACGGCGCCCTCAACTTCCAGGACAGCACCGTATGCGATGTCCGATGCATCGCACCACACCCGCCACTGACCCTCCCGACCGACGTCCCAAATGCCACGCACAGGGTCCTCACGTTGCACACGGACAGACACGTCGTCGCATAGCGCTTGAAGTTCGGCTGGTATGCAGTCATCCCAGCCGGCGGTCTCACATGCCAGACGTTTCAGCCAGCTGGCTACCGGTCGTAGCCACGAACACACCGGATAGTGGCTCGTTAACCTGCCGCACCACTGAAACACGTGTCGACGCGTAGCGTTGGCGGTCAGAGACAAGTCCACACCCTCCCGACGACGCCAGTCAAACCTGCCATCGGGCCGAGGCTCCAGCTTGAGCCCCAGGAGGCTCGCATCCTTGAACTGGACGACTGGCTTTGTTGGCAAGCCGTACTCTGCCAGGCGACTGACGACTGCTGGCGACTGGTCTCGTGGGGTGACAATGTCGTCGATGTAATTGTCAACATCGGCAAATTTCCCAAGTACCCACTTGATGATGAGGTCCATCATCTTCGGCGCAATGGAGAGGCCGAACCCCATGCGCTCCATGACGAACCGCTTTCCTTTCCACACTACGGTCTGAAAGCGCTGCAGACTTGGGTGAATCTTCACATTAAGGTAGGCCTTGCGCACATCTACTACGTCGCTATCGGTGCTCCGGCGACGCCACTCACGGATCTTCTCCTCACATGCCGGAGAGTCGGTGCCGGGATGGGATACCAGGTGGCTGTTCAGCTGCCGATAGTCCAAGCAGGGCCTAACTGGTGTCGACGCTTTGTGTTCCTGGACCTGAGCCAGGAGCGACAGGACACACGCGGGCTCACCGTGCTTCGCAGTATCATGCGGCACAAGCCACCCTTCTCGTATCCACAGGTCCACCTCCTCGCAGAACTTCGCTTCTTGTTCAGTCGTTAGGCGACGTCTGGAATACTCTCCCAGGCCGGGTCCGATGGAAGATGCTGGGGGCACTCCTTCGAGCCACTTCCATGACACGACCCAACACCCTTGACCTGGGTCGAAGTGTGCCTCACCATCGTCGGCTTTCAGCCACACTTCCCGGCCATTCTCGACAACAGTAACATGCCTGAGCAGCTTACTGCTATTCTCCTCACACACTGCATCCACTACATCGCTTGGCACATCGGAACACTGGGGACCGAACTTGGCACTCGACAGGCTACGATCTTCGCTGTCGTATGTTAACGTGACGCCGCCCAGGCTAGATATCACATCCAGGCCAATCAGCAGATCTGAGCTGACCACCGCAAGGTCATCGATGACCAGAAACTCGGCTTCGGTCTCTGGCAGCTGGACATGGGCGTCTTGGCGAGAAATCGTCATCACCACAGATCCTACCACTGGCAAGGCCTCTCCATCGATGGCAGTAATGGGTTCTTCATGCGGCTCCACTGCCAGTCCTTTGCTGGCCACAACACTGCTGCTTACAAGTGACCTGGTGGAGCAGGAGTCAATGGCAGCAGAGTGCCTGCTAACAGTGTTGGTTGCCACTGCTGACACATTCACGTAGATACGGGGCAGGTTCACTGGAGATGTTGTTGCCACAGCACCCAGGCACTTATGACTGTGACTGGACTCAGACTGGGGTGCCACAGCCGCACTGGCACTTGCCCATACACCTTGGCCCTGCTGCAGCTTGGGGCAGTTGCGTTTGAAGTGGCCCATTTCCTGGCAGTGGAAGCACTTCACTCCAGCTCCACTCCGTGACCTGCGCTGCGGGCAGTCGTGCCGCATATGCCCTATCTGCTGGCACTCGAAGCAGTGTACGGAGTGACTGTGACGGCGCGAAGTACTGCCAGTTGACACCGCCGCCGCAGTTGCGCCCGCAGGCTTGTCACTCCCGCTGCCCGACCTCATCGGCTGTAATGACTGCTGCGACAAGCACAACGCCCGCGCTTGACGAGCAACCGCGTCGATGGCCAGCCCGTCCGCGTTCGTGGACAAGCTGATTCGGAGCTGGGACGCGAGGTGGCCAGGCATTCCGGTCAGGAACTGCTCCAACAGCATCGGGTCCTTGCCGCCTTCCTTTTCCTTGTGCCCGCTCAGGCGAAGCAATCGCCGCAAGTCCGCGAGGTAGGCATCCACAGTCTCGTCTTCTCGTTTCGCTCGACGGACAAACTGGCCATACGCCTCCCCAGGCAGAACTGAGAACGACTCCGTCAGCCGCTTTAGAACTTTCTCTTCGTCCTTCTGGTCGGCTGAGCTCATCTCTTGCCAGACTGTGAACGCATCGCACGACAGATACAGCGGTAAATGAGCCATACGTTCAGCTTCATCGTCTAACTTTCGAATCTTTGCCACTACCTGGAACTTGCTCCAAAATTCGGTCAAGTTGTCCTCTCAGCCACGAAAAGGACGCAACATCAGGCTGTCTACCTTTGCCATTCTACTTCTAGACTAGTACTGGTACTACCCTGATTCCTGTGCGTCCCGGGTTTCGGCACCAGCTGTAGGAGAACGACGCGCACTGCCACACTGCGCACAAACTGAAAACCCTGAACACACGCCCAACCACCGCCTGTACCAGTCACAACGCAACACTTCCGTTCTTCTGCTAGAATGCAACTGTTTAGTTAGTACAATGTAGGTAGGTTATAAAGGTGCTACATACATAGCCACGTACAGATCTACTGAGAGCGCGAGCAGCGAGCCAAGCTCGGAGGCTTGGGCACGGCATAGTTCATAGTTCATAGTTCATAGTTCATAGTTCATGCAAGAGCATAGTTCATTATTCATAGTTCATTATCATGCAAGAGCATAGTTCATGATTGGTTCTAAAACAGACAGCAAGCATATAATGAATCTGCGTGCCAAGACAAACATGCGAGACTTGCACGTTCCGGAGCCAATCATAATGTAGAGAGTGCCAGCCGCAAAGCTATAACATCAGCATGCTGACCAACCATGACTTGTCACCACAAGTCGTACTACTACTAGTAATGCACAACACAATCATAGGGAGCACGTCCAGCCCGGCCCAGTGTTCATAATAATATAGTCATCTCTAACCGACTACAGATTACGTGCAGCACAGTCATGTATATGCCAATCTATCATCCGAGGCTGACTGATGACACCTACTGCTAGCACACATGCACAAGTCAACACTGATACTACTACAGTGTGGGTGGCTAAATCAGAGTGGATCTGATCTAAGCGTCACTAGCATCATTGATTACACAAGAGTTAATCTAGCCAGAAGCATACACACACACACACACACACACACACACACACAAACACACATAGGCGCACAGAGACGTGCAGACTTTCACCCACAAAACACTCACACATGCCTGCGCAACGTCTAGCACACAGCAGCAGCGCACCAAACACACATGCAATCTTCCACTCACAGTGAGGTGAGTTTTGTCATATGGCGAAACAGACCAGAAACATTTGCCAGGTCACAATGCCGTAATACCCTGTAATCACAACATTGGCAGGAAAAACCAGAATTTCAAATAAGCAACAGTTACACCATAGTTCAGTAGCTAGAGCATTGCGGGCCTCAAGCGAAGGTCCCTGGTTCTAGTCATGATTGGTGACAGTCATTTTTTCTGCAGACTTTTACCGCTTTCCATTCCCTCAACAAGTGAATCATGATACAGTGCAAAAATGTCGAGTCGTCAATAAGCAGACTCCACCAAAGCCATCGATGATATCCATACAGCATCACACCACTCTGCATGCAAGCAGTTGCTGCGCTATTCCGATGATCTTGTTGTGTTCGCACGTTTTAACCCTTTACCAGCCGTACATAGGGCGAATGCGTCGAATTCGACGCATTCGTTTTTCGCTTTGTAAACCATGGTCTTTTGCCACACCGCGGTCGGAATAATCGCAACCTACTGCTGAAAACCTACGGAATCACCTACCATCGAGAAAACCGTGTGCTGCACATCATTTTTTTCGAGAAAATCGCGGTTGAATGCACCCGGGTGAAGTTGAAATTTCAAGCATCACGCACTTCGTGCTAAACGATCATAGAGCACTGTACAAACAGCTGTAACTTCGGTCTGCCTACTTCAAATTTAACATGAAGGCTCATTGGAAAGCTATTGAACGCAGCTTTCCAACGATGTTTCATTTGATATAGCGCGAAGTAAAATACTCAATCGCCGAAGCTCGAAGCCCAGGAAACGGGTGAAGTTGAAATTTCAAGCGTGTGACTGGAACGCACTTCATGCTAAATGAGATCTGAATTACAATTTACTCATGGAGTGGGATGGCAGAGCCGAAAAATTTGGAAACTGAGAGCCTAATTCAGTGCATTTTGTTGATTCATGGGGTACTTATTTGGGGCAAATAGTGGTACGGTCAATACCGTAGTGACCGTACCGTGTGCGACGCCCCTGACCATTAACAACAGCAAATTGTTACATGGCCGTTGGCCAATCTTTGGACATCAGTCGTCAGGCGAAATAGCACGTCATAGTACATTTGAGATGTGCGGGAAGAAGATGACTACGTCCACTAATTTAGTATCTGTGCACACGAATCTGCTGTGTGTGTGACTCTGTGTGTCAGCTATGATATCATCTTCTGTAGTTCCATGCCTAGCATGTACGTCTGAACCATCCTGCAAAGTTTGAATGACGTAGGTTGAGCGATCGCTCCGCGAAACATACTTTTTGAAATTCTCTCCGTAGTATATCTTCCACCATTGAAATTTTGAATTTCTTCAAAAAAGGTGCTGAGATGGGTGGCTTGCAACCTCGATATGGCTTGTTCCAGGCATGCTTTGGAGCCATCTTCTGTTGAAGTAGTGGCGGGGATCTGCCCTGCAACTGCTACAACAAAAAAATGATTCGATCTGAGAAAGGGTGAGACCGCGAATCTCGGTTGAATATTGAGTATTTCAAGCCTTTTCACGACGAAGATGGAGTTCTTTTTGGAGATGGACGTCGCGGCAAGGGACATGGTGTCCGACTCCTGGCGTCTGGTGAAGCCAGGGATCATTTTTCCAGTCAGGTCGGCAGCCTAACCGTCGGTAAGCTTGTGTTTGGATCCCGTTCTGCTCGATGTGGTAGATCACAAACAATTTGATATCGCACAAATTGATCTCCGCATCGTGCGTACGGTATTTTATATTCAGAAAATCCCAAAGTGTCTCTGTGTGGCCGTCCTATGCCACGAGAAACTCCAATCAGGCTCCTATGTCCTCTGCCTTCACGATTGAATGCCCACTTCGTTTGAACAACGAACACAATAATCGAGGACGGCTTTGCAATGAAAAATACAGCTATACAGGAGCTGAAAAACGGAGAAAAAACGTGCTCAGGATGAGACTCGAGTACACGCATACTCTCCCAGCAGGTGAAATGCAAATTTTTGTGAAAAATGTGTGTCGCCGACTGACCAGCAATTTCGCCTGACGGCAGGGTCTGCTCCAGAGTCGGGTCAGCCGGGTCAGCGACCCGGTTGGGGAAGGGGGGGGGGGTATTTGGACCTGCTTGGAAAAAAAGAACCGGTCACATGTGACCGTTTGGGACTCCATCATGGTGTCCTAAGACTCCCCGATGTGCATTAGCCGCACTTGAATGTATCCGGAGATGACCTGGGGTGCAAGATTTGTGCCAGGTCCATGCGTACCCGGTTGGTTTGAAATCCCAGAGCACCACAGCACAATGCTTTTCAGTATACGCGAAGGGCATGTCCTTTTCCTCTTCTCTCCTTTTCTTTGTTTTACTGAAGTCACCAATTACTCGTAGGAAGAGGGGAGAGAAGTAGCAGGATACCAGCTACACAACAATGGGAAGAGTAAAGTTCCTTCCCGACCTGCTTACAAACAAGAAAGATTGGTTTGCCATTCTAGCAGATGACTGCAATGGCGAAGGTCAAGCCACCACAGCACAATGTTTTTCAGTATACGCGAAGGTCACGTCCTTTTCCTCTTCTCTCCTTTTCTCTTTGTTTTACTGAAGCCATCACTTACTCGTAGGAAGAGGGGAGAGAAGTAGCAGGACAACAGTTACATAACAAGGAAGGGAAGAGTAAAGTTCAAACAAGAAACCTACTCGCTGCTGATTAATTCAATCTGCTCCTGCAGCGCTCACCCTCTTCCATACTTGTGAAATTAAAGGTGATGTAAATCACTTCCCAACTGCATAACCCACAGCCCCACCCAAAGCATCTCTTCTTCTCATAAACTTATCTCTTATCAAGAAACCTACTCGCTGCTGATTAAAACCCCTTGAGCGCGGATGACGTACTAGTACGTCATAACACCCACACAGTGCCCCACGGATGACGTCCTAGTACGTCGCTTATATACAAACTAATGGCCCGTATCTTCAGTCTTCAGGTCTGTTAGCCGATTGGTAGTGTCTGTGCCTTGTGTACGAGAGGTCCCGGGTTCAGTTCCCAGCTATCGATGTACAGTGATCAGCACAGCTCTTTTTTTTCTCTTTTCTACGCGCGCATACCACGCAATTGGTGCAATTTCTCAAAAATCGACCTGAGTATGCCGCTCGGCCTGGCGTGCCTTGGCTTATTTTCGCTTTTGTTCTTGTTGTCGAGTGCTGGTCTGGGTCCTACCTACCACTGCCTGTGGTTGTGGCTCCCAAAGATTTCACAACTTGAATTAGCCAAGGTTTGAAAAAAGACCATTTTCTTACGTGGTGCACTGACAAACAGCCCCGCGCTCAAGGGGTTAATTCAATCTGCTCCTGCAGCGCTCACCCTCTTCCATACTTGTGAAATTCAAGGTGATGTAAATTACCGTTTCCAACTGCATAACCCACAGCCCCACCAGGGCCGGAGGCGGCTGCCGTGGAGCGGTGCCGCCGAAGGGCCATCTTTAAGTGAGGGGGGTGGGGTCCTCCCCCAGAATATTTTTGGGAATTTAGACGGCAAATCCTGTACTCTGGGCGCATTTCGGTGCATTTTCTGGGTACAACTAATTGTTACTTGCAAGTCTGATATTCCAATGCAGAATGCACTGTATACAAAGTGTGCACTGCACTGACAGCTACAGGGTATAGGGAGTCCGTTTTGTACGACTCCCTGTACAAAATCATACATCGAAACTTTTTCTCCCCGGTTTTGGACGTTCCACGTGGACCGACTTTTTGGGAAGTTGGTACGGCCATGGCCGTACCGGCCGTACCAGTGGCGCCGGCCCTGCCCACCCACAGCATCTCACCTTCTCATAAACTTATCTTTTATCGGCGATGGTGCCATCGTGAGAATAAAGAATTCAAATTCAAACGTTGTAACGTTCTCGACTCAAAACAGTACTAAAGGGTCTGAAAGGGTTAATGACTCTTTTAGGGAGAGAAACAGCTGTTCAACACGGATGCGTGGAAGGTCGAAGATGGTAGGGGACAAAGTCAAGGGTTGGGTCAGACCTATACTGACTATGCATTCCTCCTAGAACTTACAGATCTGTCAGCGAATAGAAGATAGCATCATCCCTCAAGTTGATCAGTGTGTCCGCAAGTTTCACTCGACTCAGGTCTCTGAATGAAAGACATTATTTTTTAGCAATACAGTATTGTATATGTGTCACAACAAGCACTAGCAAGAGTACATGAAAACCAGTGTGCAGCTCGGATGGGTTGCTGTCACGGCGGAATTCCGTGATTACATCATTTTAGTGATGTAGTGCGTACAAGCAGGATTCAAGCAGGTCTCTTTCTGCACAACTGCAGCTCAGTTGTACGCACGACGCCATTTCCCGCCTCAGATCTGTGCCAAATATGATGTAATCACGGAATTCAGACGCCCATAGTAGAAAAAGCTCCAAGCTGCACCCTCTGGTTTTCATGTACTCTTGGCACTAGCCACAACCACTGAAAGAAAGCTGAATTAGGTCAAACAACTGGTCAAGAATCAAGGGATTTTAGAAAATCCTGTTCCTTGGTGACAATCAGTGGAAATGGGAAACGATGCACACAGCATGCTGTCTCTCACACTGTACGCCTGTGGAGTCCAGCATTGCCGTAAGCAAGTGCGGTGGCTGCTCAATAACCAAATACTGCTAGTCGCACTGGTTCGTCAGTTGACCTTGGACAAACCCGGTGCTTTCTCTCCTCTCTAGATATTGACGAAAACCAGAAAAAGCCGCAGCTTGGGCAACTTAACATTGCACTGCCAGATATGTACATGTCCATTGGTTCAAGTTTTCAATTGGTTCGCAAAATCTACGCACGCCCATTGGTTTTTAATATGTCAGCGCCATCTATAGACATCCATTGGTTCACGCTTTTGTTTGTTTGTTTATTTAGAGTCGAAGAACAAACAGGCAAATTTGCCTAATTACATGATATCGACTAAAAAGGAGAATAAATTATAAAAGGCCAATGAAGGTAATGACACTGAGTAGAGTGGGTAGTAAAGTATTACTTTGTTAAAGCCAGTTAGGCCAGTAAAGGAAATAATAGTACAGCGGGCAGTGGCATTACTGAAAAGCAGCATGTGCTGGGAGGGATCGCATGAATCGGTGGTACTGCTTTCATTATGTTTGTACAAAAGAGTGCTAGCTAGTCCCCCGCGTGCACCGGACAAGTTTCCACGCTCCACCTAAACATTTAAATTGATGAATGTACAAACTGTGTCAAAACTCTATCCACAGCACTCCGTTCAACCACACCAGATTCATACGCAAGCTAAGTTCCTAATAATTGATTTCAAAAGTGCTTGATACCTCCAGAGCAGAGCCAAAGGGACAAGATTGTAACTCGAAGGAGGAAATCAAATTGCTAGGATCAACGTCAAAGGAGAAGAAAAGCACAATGGAAACGCGTCAGTATGAAGCAATTAGCCACGGCTGTAACAAGATAACAAGCAGTCAGAAAGTGCGACAACTGGGCACACAACTGACGGGCTACTGAGACATTCAACGACCCGAGACCTAGCTCTGACACACCTCCAGTGAGCAAACCAACAACCTTCCAACTTAGCTTCAGGCCCGTCGCACCGACTTTGGAGGTGGGGCGGCCATGGAAGGGGGGTCCGGGGTCCTCCCCCGGGAAAAAAATTCAAAAAATCGAAGCCAATTGCAAGCATTTCCGGGTATTTGGTGCCATTCAGTGCACAGTAACTACAATGAAAGTCTTTTTGATTCTGCAACAAACGAAGAAGACGCTACGATCGGAGACAAAAATTACCCTCCCCCGGGAAAAAATTCTAAAATTGAAGCCAATTGCAAGCATTTCCAGGCAATTGGTGCCATTTCAGTGTATACAACTGCAATGAAAGACATTTTCTGCAACAAACCACGATCGGGGACAAGGATTTGTCACGTTTGCGCTAGCTGCGATCATTGTGCTTTGTTGTAATGTGCTCCGAAAAAAAAAAAAAAAAAAAAAAAAAAAAAAAAAAAAAAAACGCCGAAAAAGTGGGGCGGCCTCAGCCGCCCCAGCCGCCCAGGCTGTGACGGCCTTGAGCTTAACTGAACTTCTGACTACCTATTATCTTGTCACAGTCGTGGACAGTTGCTTCATATCTAGTTTCCATTGTGTGT